GGTTACTTTCACCTGAAAACAAATTTCAGCAGTACGGCACATAAAGCATGTTAGAGATCTCAAGAAGAGCCACGACAACAATTTCTCGACTTGCTTTTACCAGTTTCTTAATTTTGATTCCGTTTTTGTCAGATCAGTTTACCAACGATTCATATTGATTGTTCACGAGGCATTAAAAAATATCGGAATCGCTGACGCTTGCGCTTCTCGCAACCAAGATGGGCCTTGCTTATTTGTACAAATATGCAGAAGTTACGAAAGAATGCACAGCTACTGCTGACGAAGATCCGTTCTTTCGAAAATTACAAGAAAATTGACGGTAGTTCTATTTCCCATGTGTGCCAGTACCTATTCATCGTCGCAATGAATGAACGAGTCGCAGAGAAACTGGTTGTCCTTGTTGCAAAAGTTATTTTTGCGAACTCTGTGTGAAGGGATAACCCTTTGAGGTCAGATCCTCTGTGCTCCCGTAAAATCCTTTGTTTTTTCTCCTGCCCAAACGGAGCGAGGCCATCCTAGCCCAGATTGGCTGGAAGGATGGAGGGGGGAGGAAGAACTTGGACCAGTTTTGAGCGATTGGATTGCTGTGGTTTAAACCAACAGCTATTTTTCAGTTGAAACCGAAAAATAGCTATTGGCTTCTACCTTGAAGAAATTGTTGTTTTCTATCTTTAAAATGTTGTTGTGGTTCAAGAATTAATGTGAAGAAATATTTTTTGTTGCTGATCGTTCTACCTCCTGCAAAAATTTCAAATAAAAACAAAACGGCTTCGCAGAAAAGAGTCCGGCAATTCTGATGGGAGAAAGAAGAGCACAAAGACCATCGAAACGGAAGGAGTAATTTTTATTTCTCTTTCTTTTTATCGTCAGTCCTAGCAGAAGAGCAGAACCTCGACCTCTTACAACAGCAGTGCTACTTCTCACTGCGCCATGCCCATCATAAACGGAAAAAGTACATTTAAAAAGTTGGTAAAATTTGCTATACGCTTGCTGAAAGACGGAACGATTAATAAATAGGTTCTCAGCTAGACAGTAGCAGATGTAACTACTTTTTTTTAACAATTTTTCTACAGCCGAAATATTTCCAACTGGAAATGTTACGCGACAAATGATGGGGAATGAGTTGTCGTTAATGATTTCATGCACATTTGTCAATTCCTTGTCGCTGTCCACCCAAACGAAGTCAGGTTCAATTCGAAATTTTAAACCTTCCATTTTTCTAAAATGCATGTTTTATTAGCTTCTAAGATAGTTGTGCTAAGAAAGTTAATACAGTATATCCAGAACATGTCTAACTACACAAGCTGAAAGACCGTTAAGGGAGGCAGAATAGGTTAACCGCTGCACAAGACGTTGCTCGCAATCATATAACGCAAGCAAACATATATTTCGAATAATGATGCATTGTCAGGACCACAACAAGAAATGAAATTTCCCAAGCAAAAAGAATGGTGGCGAACGGAGCCGTAAGTTCTAGAAAGAAAGAGATGAGGTAGGCAAGCAGAAGGTAGTGAGGTAGGCGAAGACTGAAGGAACAAGAAGCAGTTCAAACTCCTCATCTTCGCTGGATTCCTCAAATCCTAATGTGTTGGCACTGTGCTGCAGGCATTTGACGCATTGTGCGCTGGAATCACACACAGTGTTTTATAGTTTATTCCAGCTGTGGGTAGCGTGGAACCGTTTTCTCACGTTTTCGTCAGCCTTTCGTAGGTTTCTGAATGCCCCTTGCCCTTTATGAACAAAGTGTAAATCCGGTGCACTTAGCTAAAATTAAATTTTGTTAAAGTTTTCTACTGTGAACCGGTAAGCTTTAAATTCAAAAAAATTTTGGAACAACTTCGCCGCGTCATGCACATGAACTTGCTAAAAAGTTTTGTAAGGTCACCCATAAAATGAGAGATACTGAAATTTCAGTGAAATGTGCAGTAACGGCCATTACGCTCTTGTTATTGTCACAACTGGCTTGTAACTTGTTCCCAGCACAAGGGAAAAACAATAATGAACGTGGAAAAAATTGTTGAAATCCTGAACAGGTGAGCAACTGGACGAAAACGAGAGTCTTTCCGGAAAATGCTACTCAGTGCGTTCAGATAAAGACCAGTTTATGAATTATAAAATTTTTTACGGAAAGTAGCATTAAGGAGCTGTAAAAGTAGATACTTGACGATATCTTCATGCTTGATGGTGGTTTCTTTCGGCGCTTCGCTGCCAATTTCACTGGACTGCAAACCCAAAGACGGCTTCGGATCCTGAATTTGCATTCTCAGATACTCCTAATAAGCCCAGTTCGAGACCAATCAACTTTTCCAGCACTTCATCTACTGTATCGAAGACTGCTTGGTGTGCATCCTTGGAATTAAGCAGATACGAAATTGTAATGATTTACTGAATTGGACCCTTCGGAGATTTTTCCCCAGCACTAATAAAGACACATTTTAAACTTTTTTAAAATATTTCGGGTTGTTGTGAAGTATGAACCAAGATTCTGAACATTTTTCTCAAAATTGACTTTCTTTCTGCCAACGAGAATTTTTGTTTGTTTTAAATTTTCAGAAATGCTGCCTGGAAGTTACGTAAATTTTTATTGAAACCCTTGACTTTGAAACAAAAGAGAAAGTGTTCCATTCTAAGTTGATGGTCACCTCAGGCATTGCCAGGGCGAAAGCATCGCCAGGCCAGTGCACCACATGCAAGTGCAAAGATGCGTTTATTGCCCAACTCCACGTAGGTTTTTGTCGTTAGCACACCGGCTTTTCCGGCAGATGCTTTAAGCTAAGCTTGGCCACCACGACTATCGGATATTCCCATAAAATTTCAACTTTTTGACTTCTCGGCTCCCCAGTTAGCAACTTACGTGCAAAAAATTTTCATAGGCCTATGCGCGAAAACCACGCATATCCGGGAACTGATTTGATTGTACGTGGGAAGGGAACTTCCCCTTAAAATTTGAGATTTCTAGTTTTCTTGGTTCCCGAGTTGGCGAGTTACCCGTCGAAAATCTCCACGGGTCCGCACGTGGACAGAAACATGAGCGGATCCAGGACGGATTTCTGGAGGGTGAGACGGCGGGATGGGAGAGACCCCCTCCCACCCTGGAACTGTACAAAAACTAGGAATAGGCTTGTAACACAGCTACTTTGAGTTACTTTAGTTTTATTTAAAAAACCCGGGCTTTTACAGATCGTTTTCCCTCCCTCTTCACCTCGAATCGCCTATGGATAGGGACGTCCATTTTGGGAGTAAGATTAAGTTTTCAAAGTTTCAGATTAAATTGTTGTAAGATTAAGTTGTTGTAGCTCTTCTGCGTCTTGAGACGAAAAATCAGCACAGACACACACTCAGACAACCTCTTGACAATATGTGTTTTTGCACTGCATAGCTGCAAAAAAGGCAACTACTAAAACTCGGCTCGGCTCGGCTCGGCACGGCTCGGCTCGGCTCGGCCGGTGTGTTTT